TGAACCAACTAGTTTGTGTACACGGATATTCTCATAGAATAATAAAATTCAAAATACTTTATATCTAAAAAACGTGATGTGGACTTTCTTGCTTTTGCCAGTGTTAATCTGGTAATACAGCTAAAAAGTCTTTAATAATTTAAATATTTTTAGCTACACTGCCTGACTATATGAGGAACGGCATTAATTGCTTTTAAACTGCTTAATTTGTTAATGCAATCATAATTTGAGTCAAAAAGATCGTATGTCGCTTGTTTCAAGAATGGTGGAACTCTTTAATTTGGGTATTTGGTTAACGACGCGAAAGCTGAACTGTATTTTACGCAATGATAAAACTTGTTAAGTTCTATTGACAATGAATACATGGTCGCATAACGAAAAGCAATGCAACGGTCAAAATAATTTGCAAGCAATCCGCTAAAAACTTTTCTAATATCAAAGCGGTTTTGTTCAAGAGTATGGAAGGAGCAAGGGTCAATTAGTTCCACCTAGTTTTTTGCGCAGTAATATGAATCGTATGCAATAATCTAATAACATGCAGGGAAATACAGAATTCAAGTCTATTAAATTGATCAGCCTAATGTGAAAAATAACAGCTCCAAATCGATGACTACACACAGAAGGTCAAAGTTTAGCCTTGACTTTGACCTGAAGAAACAGAGTTGCAATACTAGCTATCCAACCGAGAAGTACTATCGCGGTAATCTAACCAGAGAACATATTCGACCTTTTCACTTTGCCCTTCAAGTTATATAAGCACCAAACTGCTCGCGGATACTGGATTCCTCCAATTCGCTGCACATCTGGGTAACTTCTTACCATACCTAGCGTATTAATAATTTTTTCAGTGAGATGAAGCCACAGTTGAATCTGATAAATAATTCTTGGGTGAATAACCTGCACATTTCTAATTTTCTTAGCTTGTAAGGAATTTTTCACTACAGAAGACCTAACAGTGTACAGTGAGTGTAGAAATTATTCGTAGAGTAGTTTCGGGAAAGAAACTATTGATTTGGTCTGCTATTCCATGGAAACTTCTTCAATAGGCAATAACTAATGAAGAAACGTTTACCAAATACGAGCGCAAACATCAACACAGAAAAGGTATTGAATTAGCTTTTAAGTATACAAGAAACTAAAAACTGGGGAATTATTTGCGCGTAAAAAGTATTCGTACATACAAGCAAATGCAAAATTTTGGTAGCATTTTTTTAAAAACTGGTTTAGTAAGTTTTTCGCTGATAACTGACGTCATTAAACTTGTAGATTATATAAAATGGCCGGGTGTAACTTTAAATGAGACAAGAAATGTGAAATTTTAATATGGGTCGTAAAGGTGAAGAAACAAGTGTTTCAGAAAGAGAATTAATTTTAAAGTTCTGTAAAGGCGGTAAATCGTACAATGAAATTTCAGTTTTATTTGGCAGACCACGTTCAACTGTGCAGGCGATTATTCAAAATTTTATTACCTCCAGAACAGTGAAAAATAGTGATCGTTCAGGATGACCATAGCATCCATTGACAGACGATTTCTGGCACGTTCGTTGAAGAAAGATCCGAAAGTAAGTGCTCGTAAGCTTACAGCAGAATTAAGGAACGCGGAAAGAGTAGTATCCGAAAGTACAATTCGAAACGAATACAGAAAACAAGGTTTCCATGGCTGTGCCGCGAGATCAAAATCCTCTATGAGTGAGAGCAATCAGAAATTACGACGAATGGTGTGACGGGAACGAAATATAGAAATGTATACAAGGAATTTACTACCAACAGTGAAACACGGAATTCGAGGCTGTTGGTTTAGGGTTGTATGAGGGCTTCTGGGGTTGGTAATTTAGTCATCATTAACGGCATTATGAATCATCTTCTGTACATTGATATTTTGAAAAATAACTTACGGTCTAGTGCAATAAAAATGGGTTTGGATAGTGAATATGTTTTCATGCATTATAATGAACGTATTCATATTTTCTTCAAATGTATTTTATTAGGTATCTTACACCATAATTACTGTTATCATATAAGTTACTCTTTTCAAATTTATTTAATTTTTTTTGGGGGGGGATAATCTGTTTCAATTAGAGTTAGTAATGCTGGAATTTACATCAGCCACTTCACAGTGCGGAACAAATTAAAGACTGTTCCAAAATAGTAAAACACAATTAAAGATGAAAAAATAAAATAAGGTAATTCCAAATACAGAAACATGCATGATCAGAGATAAATCTTACATCCATAGACGTGGGCTAAAAGTTCAGAAACCTTAATCAATATACTGAGTGAAACTCTTGTTTTGGATCAGAAATCACAGATTTCGAATCTTTAAAAATTAATTGTAGAAACACTAGTGCAGAAAAAAATGCTTATTATTTGAAAGCATTATTTTGCATGTAATTTCATGCTTAATGCTAGTCTTCTGTATTAGAAATAAGCTAAAGGTATCGAACATATTTAGCTAAATATTTTATAATATTTCAACAAAAAGTGAAACTGTAGGAAATTATACACAATCATTATTATGATCTTTATGATCTTTATACTTATTACAATTATTATGATCTTTATATTTATTACAATTATTATGATCTTTTCCACAGAATGAAGACATTTATAAGTGAGTTTTAAGTGAGCTTTATGCTGTACATAAAAGCTGGGGGGAGAGAAAGAAAGAAAGAAATGAATGAATGGTGCAGAACAGAAATTGGATAACTGAAAAATGATCTTTTATGAGCTGGAGATGAAAAATATAAAAATGCCATCAGATGAGTTTGAACCGTTGATCTGAAAAACTTCTACAGTAAACAGCGTTAATCCCTGCGCTAAACGTTTGCATGAAAAAAAGTGAAATAAAACTGAAGACACCTAAAATGAAGAAGGAAATATTCCTACATTTTACAAAATTGTGCAGTAGAGACGATGATATGAAGAAATAATTATGCATGTAGTACATCTAAAATGTTGAATAGACGTGCTGCGTAAGGTTTGGAAAAATAATTTTTTGGAATAATTTCATAGTTTAAGATTTCAGCAAAATTTACAGCATGATTTTTTCGGAATTAATGTAAGTTTTTAACGTAATCAATCTTTAAGTCTTTAAGTCACATTCTCGTTTCTGAGAAACCAAAGATCCCCGATAATAAGGTGAAGAAATTTATTTTAAATAATTTGTAGCTTGTTGTTTAGTCGCAAATAGTATATAGCAAACGACAGCCAATTACGCCAGCGAAGCATAAGCTGTGCTAAAGGCGGGACATGTTACCAGTGTTCTCAACTTAGGTTGACCGCTAGCCCGCAACCAGTTCTGGTTAGTTAGATGGCTTTTATAACAGGGTTAGAGATAGAAATAGAAGTGATGGGTAACAGATGAGATTTCATTTTGTTTAATCGTCAAGGAAAAACTTGTTTTTTACTGTTAAGATAGTATTTGCCCATTATGATTACGAAAGATATGTTAATAAAGGTACGTTTTACGAAAAATATAAATCTGCATTTTTTTCTTTTTTGGTTAACCTTTAAAGCAGTAGTTCTCAGCCATTTTAGTCTCAGCCATTTTAGGTAAACAATATTCTCCACACGTTTTATTAATAATATACAATTTTATATTTGTTCTTATATCCCCATCGTACTTTGTATTTTCTTACTGGCGCAGATCCAAAATTCACCGATTAATAATTCACCGTGGTAAAACTACAAAGAACGATAATTTTGGATTATGAATAAAGTCATCGCACGGGATTATTAAATATTCAAAAACGACTGCATGCATTGTATGCGCAGTTTCCTGCGCATTTCTTGAAAACGAGGCTCAAAGCTCAAAATCTAATGCTATTCTTTTAAGCCCAAAGACGCAATTTGCCCAGAAGGGCTATTAATTTCGTTTTGGCATTTTGCGTTGGTTCACTATGAAAGTCTGAATCGCTTTTCAAATTGTTGCCACCAAATATTTGAGCCCTGTATTATATTTAAAGAAATTAAATAATGAAGAATCTGTATGAAAGCATGTCCGTTTCTCGCATTGTGGAAAAACAACGGTACCTAGAGATACCAAATTTTGAATAACGTAGTCCTCCACTCGACTATGGGCATCAGGAAGCCCGTATTTGGAATTTGTTTTATTATCAATTTCATATTTTGTAAAACTTTAACGAATTTTTGATTAATAAAGTCAACGATTTAAAAGCATTCCAGCAACATTAACATCGCGTGCATCTTCAAGCACGGATGATTTATGAGCGAGGTTTCTTTTTTGTGATATTGCTGTTGAATTGAATTTTATGGTCTAAGTTCCAAGAACATGATATTTAATAAAGAAAGGTAACATATAAACATTAAAGAAAACTCCCCTTTAGGCGTAATATAAAATCTGAATGCTTTCAGATTTTTATTTTTTTTTCTCTTAACCCAACCTATTTTTTAACTATGTCTAAAATATCAAGTGAATTGCTTTAAAAGATTTAGTGCAAAGTGTATATACACATGATCATTACGTGTAATAATTTTATATATTACGTAATAAACGTAAAGTTGTTTAGTTTTGTTACTTGACCGACATCACTATGCTTAGAAGTTATAAAATAATTTAAAAAATTTTGTAAATAAATTTTTAAGAACTAGTTTTAATTATATAGTAACTAATCCAAAGCTCTTTGCCTTAAAATATTTATTACAATCACATTCCTGAATGCATTTGATATTAAAACCGGAAATATTAAGTTACTTTACTTTTAATAACATACTCTTTCCCTTTAATAACTTGAAAAGGTATAAAGTAATATAAATTATAAATTCATGTATGTAATATTTTTAAAAGGTCGAAAATTTCCTTTGTCATACTAAAGCTTCTCAAAAGAAAATAGTAATGTGTTAAATAAATAATAAAGTGTTACATTTTGAGCAGTCTATCATTAGGAGTTCTAAAATTTCGATAAGAGCTCCTATAAAATGCCACTTCTTTATATTAGTACTTATTGTATACCTAAGTCAAATTTAAAAAGAATACTTACATTCATGACTTCTGGCTCTGTAGAATAGTTGATGGGCTCACAAATCCAACTAAATTTGCCCCAAGGCCTAATGTATGTAAAACTTCCACCCTATAAGGGAATAAGATTACAGTACATTTAATGTTACCTTAATAATGAAAAGGGACTGTTTATTTCAAATGCTATAGAAAAAAATATTATTCTTTTGCGCTTCAATTTTTTTATCATAAACTTTTTGCTTGCAACACTATTAGTTTTTAACGTATTATTAATTTCTTATATAAAAGAAAGCAAAATTTATGAATGCTTTTATCTATCGTATACATATATAGCAAGAGGAATTTCTAAACTCTTGTTTCGAAAATTACATTACACCGAAGGGCCATTACATTATGACTACCCCGTTAATAACATCCAGGACCACCTTTAGTCCTCAAAACTGCCAGCCCCCGGTATGGCATTGACTCTACAAGGTGCTGATACTTAATAATCTAAGGTATCTGGTACCAAGCGCTCACCAACTGGTCCTATCATTCCTGCACATTGCGAAGGGGCAAAGTGGCAGCCCGAATTTGGTTTTCCATATGAGACCACAAATGCTCTATTGGTTTAATGTCAGGTGAATTTGGAGGCTAAGACATCACTTGAAAGTCACTGAAATTTTCTCCACTCCCTGACGATTCGACGCTTATGACAGGGTGCATTATCCTGTTGGTAAACACCTTCCCCCAACGGAAATACTGTTGTCATGAATGAGTGAACCTGGTCTACAACGCTGCTCACATAGCGCAGAGATGTCAGGGAATGTACTGCGGGGATTATGGGTCCTAATTTGTTCCATGAAAACATTGCCCACACCATAATACCCCCGCCACCGGCTTGTCTCCGCACAACTGTGTATCCCGAAGCCAGGGTTTGGTTTGGAAATCGGCGTATTAGCGCATGCTCGTCAATGTGATGGACCACAAATGTGATTCGCCGGACCATGCAACTTTCTTCCATTCTTCTAATGCCCAGTTTCGATGTTTCCAATTTCGATGTTGCAATTTCGATGCCCCACTGGAGATGCAGCTGGCGATGACGTGCCGTCAGTGCAATGACATGCTTCGGCCTCCGGCTACATAGGCCCATACCCAGCAATGTACGCTGCACAGTATGTTTAGCAACACTGTTTGGGTCGCTACTTTTGTAGGTGGTGGTGATTTTGGCTGTTGTAGCTCTTCGCTCACGGCGAACAATGCTTGGCAATCTCCGCTTCCTCTAGAATTAATCTGCTGTCAATGACACACCGTTGGCCGTCGGCTTGTCGTTTAATCATCCATACACCATTTTCGATATGTGCTCACAACAACTGCACGTGAACAGCCCACTAAACGCGCCGTTTCTAATATTTATGTTCCCAGTCGCCGAGCCATAATGATTTGGCCTTTAATCGAAATCTGATAAATCAGCTGCTTTTCCCATTATGTCGCTATTCGCGCTATGTTTGGAAAGACAATGTATAGCAGCTTTATATACTTCAACATCAGCTGCGCACGCGCAGTGGTTTTGTTCATAGGCGAGCGCATTGGTATAGATGGAGGGTGGTCATAATGCAATTGCTCTTCGGTGTATATACAGTGAAAGGTAACCAAAGGGCACAGCGGCAACGCATATGAGACTAGGGCGCAACAAGCAATGGACAAGATTGGCAAATGGGCCGGCAACTCAAAAATCCAAGGTATGCTTATTTGCCCAGGTAAGCGCTATCGAAGAACCCTGTGAATAAACCTTCATGGCAAAAATATTAAAATAGTTAGAAACTTGAGGTACTGTGGGGTTGTAATTGATGACACATTCACTTGTATCCCACATTTAAAAGAGGTCAAGGCACCACTTCACAGTATATTTCATTCCATGCTCAGGACAGCAGCACCAACCTGGGAAGTTTCTTCGAAGATGTTTAAGATGTGGTACTCTCTAGTTGCTGAGCATTGTATGGAGCCTCCATGTGTGGCATAACGATCACTACTAAAATGAAGAATATGCTACGCTCAACACAAAGACCATTCCTCTTAGGCATTTCTCGAAGATATAAGACATTGCCTACTAACGCTCTAAACGTGATTTCAGGACTGCCGCCTCTGCATCTCTTAGCTCAGCGCGAGAGTGCAATAGTGCGAGTGCTCCGACTCAAAGAGACAATAAGTTTATAATATAGGACTTATGTTTATACTGACTATGAGCAAAGCATAATCGAGCCGCCTTGTCACTCGGCTGAATTCAACATCCTTATTAACTGCAGGTCACCAACGTGGTTCAAAGCCACTGCAATCTACACCAGTGGTTCCAAAGGAGAATGTGGCACTGGTAGCGGATATTGTGTTCTACATGGGAACCCGATACCTTAAAGACCTGGGAAAGAAAGCCTAAGCACCACAACTCAGTTTTTCAAGCTGAACTGATTGCATTGAAAGCTGCACTTGTCTATGCATTGGAAAATAACTATTCTAGTATTTATTCAGACTCAAGCCTCTAGCCTTCAGGCAAGTTCCAAGGCACATGCAGTAAAAATCCACTCGTCAGGGCCATACAAAAACTCTTAACCAAGAACACCAAAATACTATAGGTCCTGAACTCCAGTGGGTACCTGCCCACACCGGAATACTGAGTAATGAAATTGCAGATGCAATAGCCAAAAGAGCAGCAACTGAGTCCCCACGTTCGCACACTTGATGTGCCTCTCCCGGGCTCGTCCTTAAAAGCTGAGCTCGAGAGAGAATTACTGAAGCGTTGGCAACATCTGTGGGAGACAGAGACCACTGGTAGAAGAGTTTACACATTTTTTTTTTCAAATGTCTGTCGGCTCTAAAAAGTGGCTCGCCTCACTTCACCCAGTTTCTAACAAGGCATGGTCCCTTCATCACTTACCTACATCACTTCAGACGACACGAAAATGACCATTGCTCGTGCGGGATGGCAAGAGATTCAAAGCACTATGTGTTCGTTTGCAGAAAGACGGCCGAGCATCGTGTTAGGCAGCCAGTAGCGGACCACATCCATGCATGGGCCGAAGCTACTTCAAAAAATCGCTATGCATTGAAACGTATATGCGATTGCGTAAATATTGCACATAAAATCTCAGACAGGCTGGAGTAATTCTCAGCTGCCATCCACGTCACCAGCACTGCCCCCGTATACTCTGTACATGTAATGAATTTATTTTATCTTAAGTTAGCTTTTTCTGCTTTTTTTCCTGTTTATACGTATCTCCTTGAACTGTAAACCCTGAATTGTGAACCTTGAATTATGTATTTTGCCTTATTTTATGTATTATTTTCCCTTTTTTTGCCTTTTTTATTTATGTATTATTTCGTATTTTACTTTTTCATATTTATGTATTTTACTTTTTATTATTTTTAGTATTGCTATTTAGTATTTAGCCTTACTTTAGATATTATTTTTACTGTTTTATCAATCACTCTGTTAATTGCTCATATATTGCACTGTGCTCATTTATTTTTCACGTTGTGGATGCCTTTTGTAACCACCTATCCATAACTCTGTAAATACGTAACCGAAATTGTTCTTCTCACCCGCAATGCACCCTTCTTCCATCACTGCACTATCGTCTCGTCCATAATTTGTTTGTACTGCCTCCAGTACCCCTCTTGAGCACAATATGTACCAAAGTGTGTTATGTTGACCAAGTTATTTTCGTCAGCGGGGCTATCTGGCCGATATGCAAACTGCCCCAGTGGGATCGGCTGCCTCGCTGTCGGTAGAAGGAAAAACGAAAGTGAAAGAACGGTAGAATTATCTTTTGTTTACCCAATAATGAAGCTGTTTCATGTTCCTTATTTGCAAATCGTGTCTTGGTTTGTACCAAGTTAAAATAGGCGCATCCTCGAAATAACTAATTAACATATTTCTCTCGTTTCTATTTTATGCAAATTTAAAGTATTTTAAAGTTCTGCAGTATCCACTAATTTATTTAACTAACTTGGTCCCTATTAAGGCTGTCAGATGACTTATTGTCTCCTCTAGAACAACTACGAATTCTGAAGAAGGTTTAAGCAAACTTTTACTTAAAACTTTGAACTTAGCAAATGCACGACTATGCTTACAGAATAATCTTTACAGCTTACTAAATTCTACTAAAAGAAAATGTAAGCTAAGGCCGGCGATTCACAAGTACAAAATTAATCCTATCAAACGTTGGTTCAACCTAATCTAATTTGTGGAAACAACTTCGTTAGCAAAAGGCTAACGCCGATCTAAAGTAACTCACAGAGATTTGGCAAGGAAATAGCATAATGGTGAGCGCCGCTGCCAAAGCTGGTCTAAAATTCAAAAACTCTATTCTTATATACACGAATCAAATTTATATCCTGGTAGAGGCTGAGGAAATGTAGAAGTGATAGCACAACTCAGATAACGAGATAATAGGTTTAACTAACGGAAAAGTTCAAAACAGTAACTAGCGGAAAACTTCAAAACGTTCATGCAAATATATTTATTAATTAACGTGAAAGAATTGATTTTATCTGCAAATAAATCATGCAAGACGACATGTTTGATTATTATGCAAATTCAGTGTATATTGAACGTCTATAAATTATCAAAAAGAACTTGGTACTGTATCTAAATACCTGTAATTATTTAACTCGAAATATTTTACTAATAATAAATTTATTTTTTAATTTCGGCTAATTTGAAGTTTAAGACGTTTGTTGTAAGCGTGAAATGTTAATAACTTTTAATTAAAATTATTAATGCTCGCCTATGCAAAATTTCACTTCATGGCCAAGACGAAATTTCATCACACGTAACATGCAAACAACAATATACAGGGTGGTTCTAATTAAAGTTTGACAAATAGTAATAAAAGGAAAACTACTCGACCAAATGTTATCAAACTTTGTAATCATGTAAAGGAGGTCATGGGAATTTATTTCCCGCGGAAAAGAAAAGTTTAAAAAACTCATCACCGGGGGTGGAAAAAGACGCTCTCTGCAATTTTGTTAAACAAAATAAGGGTCGGAATCTAACTTAACCTTTTTGTTACACGGGTTTAACATGTTGTATACCCTTAAGAAACATTGACCTAAACAGAATTGCTATTTAAAGGCGTTAAAGCTGATAAAAGTCGAGTGCGCCATACGTGTAACGGAGAAATTCGTCCATGAAAACCACAAATTAGCGATTAGAAAACATGAGATAGCAAATCACTCGCAAAAGTGTGCGCATTCCGGAAATCGTTTTCTTACAGATTGCTAATATGTGATTTTTGAAGTCTGAAATTCAGCCCTATGACATGAAGATATCGGTTTAATACGTTTTTAATCGTTTCTAAAACGAAACTGTTTGTGGGCTGAGGCAAAACCTTAATTGGTTTGTAATTGGCTTACGGCAGGAAGAAGCAAATGATTTATATAAATAATCTAAATAATCTGGCGTAATTGAAAGATGCGACACACCGACATGTCCGTAACATTTCTCGTGATATGCTAAGAGCTGCTGTTGAGAATGCAATAATACGATTTAACTTGCTTGCTGAAAATGGTGGACGCCACATTGAATATGCTTTTGCAACACGTATCAGAAACGATCAAGCATATTTTAAACCCATGTCTTATTTCTTTTAATAATATTGCATATAGCTCTATTTTGTCCCTGGTCGTGAATTTTTTAAATCCCCCGCTTGGAAAATAAATTCCCCCAACCTCCTTTACACGATTACCAAGTTTGATAGCCATTTGGTGCAGTAGTTTCCCTTTTAGTGGAAGTTTAATTATAACCACCCTGTACTTTATGAAATTCATTTGTGACATTATTAAAACACGGATGTTATAAGACAGTTCTTATACATTTGTTTTCTGCATTTAAAAGAAAAATTCAAATAGTTTTCATGGCAGCTGTTTTATCTCGTCTCACAAAGATAGCTGCGTGTTTTTTATTCAAATTGAGAAATGACTCTAATTTTGAAGTCATTTCCTCATGTAATAAAATTCTTAAATTATATTTGATACTAAACAAAAATTACATATATGCAATATTTTAAACCAACTTTTAGAAGATCAGCATCATAAACACGCTGCTTTATCAAATATGCAAATTTTTTATCCGATGAGAATAAAAAGACCAGAATAAAATTCTGAGTCTTTTCCTAGCCCGCTTATGACATGAAGTTAAAAAAAAGTAGATAATAATAAGTAATAATAATGAGCTTTTTTATTATCCTACTTATAGCACAGGAATCATTACGTTAATAACTTTAATATCATTCGCTTACTCTTTTCTCATTACCTGGAAATTTGTTTCGAAATTTTCTATCCGAATTTTTTTATCTTAGCGAAAAGAAATGTGATAAAAATTAATTGGATTCGTTTAGTATATGCAGTGGTTTTTTAAATTATATCTTCTAGCATTATATACTTTTTATTACTTACATAAATAAAAAAGAACGCTGACAATGCAACCAACAAAACATTGTATAGAATGATGAGTTTTTCAATCTTAAAAGGTTGCCTGTTCTTCATCCATTGGGGTCCTAAGACTTTCACAAAATACACATATGAAAAGATGATGGATAGCATGGGAAAAGGAGTGCCCAGGAGAGGCCAATTGACTGTCCTAGGATCTGGTGAATAAAAAGATTATTAAGAAGATAGAATTAGATTTAATTTCCGGAAAAATAACAAATTAAAATTATTTTCAAGCAAAGAAATGAAAAAATATATATAAATGTTCAAGATGTTAACAAATAAATAAATACAATTTATTCTTTTACTTCATTCCTTGAGACATTATATAAAGAAAGGTACATTATAAATGGTAAATTTTCAGTGCTACACAATCCATCCATACACAACCCCCCCCCAAAAAAAAAAAAAAAAAAAACTTACAGAAGCGTAATAAGTTTTCAACCTTTTTAAGGTGCATTAATTTGTAAACTATGTTTACTATTTTAAGCTCAAAGTTCGGACTCATTTAAAAAAAAGCATCCTAAAATTTGCAATTCAGAACTGTCAGACTCATCTCAACTGGACTAGAAGAGAAGCACGCTAATGTGACAACCAAAATCGTAAAAACAACCTTGTATTTAGCGTAAGTATATTGAAATACTCAATCAGTTTCGAGGGCAGCTAAAGGTCCCTCCTCATCAGGAGAAAGAAATATCTAGAAAGAAGAAAAATAAAGGGAAAGGAGTCTCAGAAACACGTGGTCCTTATCAGCACTTCACGTGGTTGAAACCGGATGTTTTTAATCAGAGTTACACTGGCCGCCTACTTTTACTGAGCCTGGCTATCTGATCAAACATGTAACACAAAGGACAAGAAAATTAGCGAAGTTAAAAATAGGGTGCGAGGGGCAACTGCACCTTCACGCTCAGAATCTGAACTTCGAATAATGGAAAGCAACCACTGAATGGATTTTTTATACCCTCTGGTAGTACCAAACGCGAGGAGGTAACACCATCTATCGGCAAAAATAGTAAACTGAATTAACATAGTAAATTTTTAAAGGCATTAGGAAGGACTGGAATTGACTTAAAACATTAATAAACATGCTAATCTTTGTGAATATGAAAGCCCAAGAAAATCCAATTCACTATGGAAGAAAGCCTTTGGATAATTTTTGCAGACCCAAAGTCAAATTATGGTTAAATGCCAAGATGGCGCTATTGAAGACTGTTAATTAGCCTTTTCTGACAAAGATTCATGTTCCTTGATACGAAATTCAACGCTCTTTTTGTTGGCCAATATATCTTAACCACACTGCACGATATACTATTAATTTCCCCATGAATTCCAGACGAAACGCAATCTTTAGAATCGAAGGGTGAATTTTATTAATAGGAGAGAAACCGATTAAATTGAATTTCGGAGAATCCGTGCATTTTATGGTGACAGAAGGATAAAATGGAAGCACGACAAGGTCATTAATATTATTCTAACAGTGGAAGTCTTCTTTGATGGAAATCGAAAATTTTTTAACGGCTTTATCAATAATCACGGGAGAAAATCCACGGTCAATTGCAACTGATCTCAAATAAAAAGTGATGTAAGCAAAGAATCAGAGGAACAAAGTTTTAAGCGGGAATACACAATAGTAAAAAAGAAGCCACTTTTTGCTTAACAGGGTGGCATGACTTGGCATGGGGTGGTAAACAAACAGCAAAGGGTTTACGATACACAGTAGAGCTCATCTCAACTGTTCTGAGTATTCTCGAACAGTTGAAGAATTGTTAAACGAATTGCAGTTGTTTAAGTTTTCCTAAAATGAAAATAAAAACTTTCTAATTAGTTCCATGAAATAATCGTCATGTCTAACATATGTTTTATAACTGTAACCAAGCATGGATGATAGGACTGAGCACGACATCAACGCAAGCAAACGTTTTTTCAAGTTGTAAAATGTGAAAGACGCTTCATTGGATTAGATGGAACATCATTTAAGAGTCGAGAGCGTGATTCTTATGACATATAAGGACGTTATAACAAACTTTCTAGAGAAACGAATTTCTCGCAGCAATAGTTTGAAAGAGAGGAATCTAGCCGAATTTTTGCCAAAGGAACCATATATTTTTACATTTGAAATTTAGCGGAATAATAAATTAAGTCAATTTCTGCACCTTCAATGTCTTTTTGCGAGTGGGGCAAAAGTAAACAATCAGTTTTATGCACCGTAAAATCTGTCTTCTTGTCAGCTGGCCGAATTGCTTGTTTTTCTGTAGAAACTCTGATTGGAATTGTAAAAATGTTTTTTTTTAAATTGTTTTAACTGCATTCGGTGTTTATATTTTTCTACGTTTTTCAGTTTTTAATAAAGATATTTCGTGGTTTTATGTATTTTTGCCTTGCTGCGAAATGAGAACTGAATTAACTGAATGAGAAATATAAAAAATGCGTATAATTTGGTATTCCGTACAAGGATATCATGTGGTGTACACATCAATTATTTTCCTTCTAAACTATTTTTAATATTTAATTTGCTATTCTTTGAAAATGTTGTAAATCTTTTGTATGAATTTTCTCAGCATGAACGGATTGTTAATTTAATTTCTGGAGAAGATTGCAATTAACATCTTACGGAATGTTTTAAATATGCGGTTATTTTCTCTGCTAGATAATTTGGTAACTAAAACTTGCTGCTTTTTTCAAAGAAACTTTACTCAACCAACACTGTTACATAAATTTTAAAAAAGCATTTTCTTAGGGAAATATTGATTGATGAGGCTTTAGATAATTCTTTCACATTTTCTTCTGAAATATTATTTTAGATATTATATATTGGTGTAATGCAATGTTTTACAGCATTATTCACAAGTCGTCTGTAGAATCATTAAACATTAAAATCAGAGTACTAGAATTTGCTCATGATATATTTCAAGTTTAGATGCTATGGAATCTAAAGAGAATGAAATCCGTGTCCTTTTCCAATTTTTGCATTTATCTAGGAAAATATTTAAAAATAAAATGGCTGCCTAATTTTATTCTAAGAACAATTTTATCGCATGCAATTAAGATCTACCGTGTACTGTGTTCGTTTAAAATTATTATGGTATTTAATTCGATTAGTCGTGATCAGAAATGCTTCTTAATATTAGCTAGTTCAAATTTTGCTGAAATTAAAATGGCTGCATAATTATATTCTAAGAACAACTTTATCCCATGCAATTAAGATCTACAGTGTATTGTGTCAGTTTAAAATTATTATAATATTTAATTCGACTGACTAGTCGTGATCAGAAATGCTTCTTAACGTTAAACAGTTTGAATTTTAACCTCTGTGGGATAGTATACCTTCACTTTTTCTTTCTTCCTTCAAGCATATAAAGAGTTAATTCAGAAGTTGAAAGAATTTCGTGAACGCTACGAAGCTATTTGAACTAAATAAAAATAACATCTTCCTGCGACATATAGAAGAGACATTCCAACAACGGCTTCTTGTAGTCGTGGTTGATTAATTTTAATTCTAATAGCGTAAAACACATAATGTTTAAAAGATAAGTTCATTTGAGGTCAGTTAGTAGGATGTTCATTCTGATTTCGCTTTGTATTTTCTTTTTGCCTTTTTATTTTCCAAACATTTTCCTCATTCGCACTTGAGGAAGATTCTGGTTGGCCTTCAGCGCCATGGTATTACACATTTAACTCACTTTACACGATTTCTTGCAGTTAATTTATTTTTAACAAAAATTAAAATGCTCGTGAGTTAGAAAGTTTCCACAATGACTAAAATGTTGCGCTGCTGCAGAAGGCATGTCAAACTGCAAGGGAAAGCATACAAGAATCATTAAAATATTTCCTTAGATACGATTAGATTTGCTCACACAGCTTTGATTTGTATAATGGGAAGTAATTTGAGGAGTCTGTAGTACGAAGTGAAACAGAAAAATAAGTAAAAATTTTACAAATATGTTTTTATTGTAGCGTCATTGTGTTATTTTAAAGCAGGGAAGGTGAAAAACGAGCAATGCATTCGCCGGGACTCGAATCCTGGAATTCTCGAATACGCGCTGAGTGTGCTTACCTCTTAATTTTACACCAAGAAGGCATGTTGGAACGAGGAAGAAAATACCTTATATTATTAGTTCTTGGACTTTAAACCTCATCATGTTACATTAGAAACTACTGAGTACGTGAAGACACTGGGCCGTTTAACATGGCATCTGAATGCTATCAAATGCCATGCGTGCTCAAAAGTTGAGCATATGTATTCGGTAGAAATTATTCAATGATTTAATAATAATAAGAAGAAAACAGAAGAGCATATGAAAGAGACTGCTCTAAGATAATCAGTGGTTGTAAGTAATAAAAAAATATACAAAACAAAAATACAGTATATGTATAGATATATCAGCGACGTCATCTTCGTTAAATATAATTAAACTGGAAAAATATATATCTTCTTGTGTGTTTAATAATTAAACACGGTACAAGGCACCTATCAAAACTTGACAGCTAGTTAATGTTGATTTATTTGATGAAAATCAGCAGAACTGAAAGAAAAGCGACAGTGTCCTTCCCAAAGAATTTTTGGCAACCCTTGCTGGCTTAATCAAAGGGTATTATGAGCCCCCAAAAGTATTAATAGGAACATTTTCAAACGATTTCAAAACGGTAAGAAATTAAACGCGGTTATATACCTCCAAATTATAAAGAAACAATTTTTAGCACATATCTGATGATAGATTTACTCCCAATAGGTGCGTAGCAATTCATGAAGACGAAATTTAAGCTGCTGTTGGTTTGCTTGTCTTATTATCGAATGTGGCACGAAGGTTATATATGTAAGTTTAGAGATACTGTCGCGGAGGGCTTTCTAATGGAAAAAGACACGTACTCACGCTACAAAAGAGGAAAACTTTGAAAACGTCCATGTATCCGGCCCGTTTGCCGAGATTCGAATCTAGTTGAACATCTAGTATCTCTCTCTCTGCTAAGCTCAATCCACTGTTGGATTAACGCAATACGAACATAGAAGCATTAAAAACATAGATTTTTCCCTTATAAAATTTCTGTTACTTAAATTTATTGAAAACACTGCCTATCCATAGATAAATTAACAAATAGTCACTTCCAAAACGGTTGGTATTTAGAACAACTCATTTACTAAATGTTAAAATTTGCATGA